TAAATAAATAAATAAAAATAAAATCAAAATTTCATTGCTTATTCCTACTAAAAATTATTCCAACTAAAAATTATTGCTACACTGCTATAAATACTTACAGAACTTTATTATTACAGAACATCATGGAACATCAGAAACAAATTTTCAGGGGTAGCTTGAATTACAAATTTCCCAATTGGTTGAAAATTTTAAGTTATATCCAATGTATAAAACAAGTCCATTTTACATAAGGAACAATATTTACTTTTAGATACATTCACATAGAGCATCTGTTGGGCAGATTTATAAAAATGAATGAATGGATGAATACTTTTTAACCAATATGTTCATCTTATTTTTTTTAACCTGGGGGGTGTGTATGTGTGGAACAGGACTGTTTTATGCAACCCAAAATCCTTTCCCCCCACCACCCTTTAATTTTTCCTTTGCTCTAAATTCCTGATCCTCTTACATGTGATCTGGTAAAATGGTTCAAATACTTCTTTTAAAGTGGTAGAAGTATGAATTGTTTTTATTTTTGCCTTTTATAGTTGACTTTTTTTGCCTTTTATTGATATTTTTCATTGAGATATAATTTACATACAGCAAGATGAACAGCTCTTAAGTGTTAAGTCTTAAGAGTTTCAACAAATATAAAGCTTTGGTTTTGATATCTACTTGATGCATACTGCTAGGAGATATCATACTAAAGCAGGTAAGTGTTAGTGTTCAACAACACACCTGTAATCCCAGCTACTCAGGAGGCTGAGATAGGAGGATCGCTTGAGACCAGGAGTTCAAGACCAGCCTGGGCAACATAGTGAGACCCTGTTTCAATTAAAAACAAAACAAATCACCTCCCCAAACTTCATCAATGTATCATTAACAAAGAAAGCTGTAATTTTTGCATTATCATTTACTATCATTGGGGCAACATAAGAGAAAGATTCAACACAGCAGGCTATATTAACTACTATCTGGAAAGAACTGAAAAAAATCCAATATTGCTGAGATTAAATTTCACCATTTGAGTGGATTGATTTTACTGTGGATAAGCCTTCTGGATCCCATGATTTAACCATTAAAACAAAAACATCTAAACATTGACAACTCATTGTAGACTTTCTCACAAAGATTTAACTAAAATTGAAGTGGAAATCTCTGCTCCCTAATAAATTGCTAGAAAATATATTAGAAAAAAATGAACCTATGAGACGCATTCCTGCAAAAGAGAATTTACATTAAAAATTTACAAGTCACATTTGAATGCAAGATTTGCAAAATCACCAAATGTGCCTGGTTCTTCCAGTAACACTGTTTGAAGAGTAAATCCTTGTTTTAAACTATTCCCGTAATATTCACATGGTGATCCATCATTTTCCATACAATATGTAAAAATAAATTACTTTTCATTTGTAGGATCCGTTGGCTATTTCACTGCTATAAATATCATTCTCTATAATTCTCTATTGGCTTTTTTCTTTGTGTAATATTGCTTTAAATTGTTCTCTACTGTCTTGACTTTGGGTAAATTATAGAAAAAATTACATTTTAAGACAGCTAACAATTTTTCGGACTTAATTACCTCTGTAAAAATGGGCATTATGTAAAGAAATAGTGAAATGAGAAATGCTTGTGTAGGGGTCCTTTAGCTAAGGGATATGTTTAAAGGATTACAGACGTACACAACACTGGCAAGACACCAAAAATGTCAGATAAGTAAGATAAATCTCCCATTGCAATGCTATAAGGGAAGTTAGCAATTTCTTTTCCCCCCAATATCTCTTAATATTAGGTGAGTAAAGAAGAGGAAAAGTGGCAAAGAGCCCCAATATTTTTATACACATGAATCCTTTTGATAAAACTATGTAGCACCCCTTCCCCTTTCCCCCCCCGCCCCACTTATTCCCAGCAATCTCATTTATACACAAAACTTGGCCTGTCATTTCAAGGTACTCAAGCCACCTGAAACTCACTTAGGTACACTTAAGGGTTTCATATTGCTGTGGTTTGAATGTGTCCCCACAAAATTCATATGTTGAAATCTAATCTGCAATGTGAACAGTACTGAGAGGTGGGGCTTTTTGTAGGTGAATGGGAATAGTGCTCTTATAAAAGAGACCCCAGAGAGCTAGTTAGCCCCTTCCACCACATGAGAACACAGCAAGAAGGTTCTATGAGGAATGTGCCCTTGGCAAATACTGAACCTTTATCTTGGACTTCCCAGCCTCCAGAACTGTGAGAGATAAATATTTGTTATCAAACACGCAGTTTATGGTATTTTTGTTATAGCAGCCCAAATGGACTAAGACACATATAAGTTAACAATCACCTTGGAAATAGAATAATCTATAAAAAACCAATAAAAGTAAAAACTGCCATTAAAGGCAAGTAGCAGAAAATTCCTCTTCAAAACAGAGCTAACTTCCAAACTGCATATATGAGGAATTAAGTTTTAACGTAATGTATTGAAAAGGCCATTGCAGCATTACCAAAAATGTTCCTGCATATCCACTTCCTAACTTTTCATAGACTGTCTGATATACAAAGGAAAGACTTACAATATTTGTGTACAGTTTTATATCATTATGCCTATGGAAAATCACTATACTAGTTACAAACATGCTATAAGATATTGGTAATGGTAAATTTTTACAGTGACTTTTTTTTTCTAAATAGACAGGGTCTTACTCTATCACCCAGGCTGGAGTGCAGTGGCACGATCATAGCTTACTGTAGCCTTAAACTCCTTGGCTCAAGTGATCCTCCTGCCTCAGCCTCCTGAATAGCTGAGACTACAGGCACATGCCACCATGCCTGGCTAATTTTTAATTTTTCTTGTAGAGATGGGGTCTAGCTATGTTGCACAGGCTGGTTTTGAACTCCTGGCCTCAAGCGATCCTCCTTCCTTGGCCTCCCAAAATGCTGGGATTATAGGTGTTAGTGACCCACGCCTGGCCTGTGATAAATTTTATAGTGATAAAAATTTATTTAAATTCCCATTAAAATGTTTACTGTTGCTGAAATTATACCTGTATTTATTGACTCTTTCTAAATTTCTTAAATTCAAAAATTATTTTGGCATATTATAACTTTGTATAGAGCACCTGCTACCAGTGTCTACATCATTTGGCACCTACTCCCCAGGTGTGCCAAACCAATTTTGTAATTTTCCATGTGTATTATGATGTGACAATGGTTGGAAAGCCCTACATTGTACCATATGCAATAAAATAAGAGGTATGGGTAACATAGAGAATGTTGCAGAGTCTTCATTTATGAGTTTATTTTGGTAATAACCATGAAATGGTTCAACTATTCAAAGGGCATACATTGTTCTAAGAGACTTATGCTATAAAGAAAAAATTAACTTGAAACATGGAAAAAATTTTGTTCCCTGAATATTATATACATCAACCTATGATAATCTAGTAATTTGTGTCCAAGTATTTTCAGTTAAAATTTTATACTTTTCCCCCCCTCACACATGTAAGTAATTTATTTTGTAATGACCACTGTAGCCATCACCAATTTTAATTTCAAATAATGACAGACATTAGATGATCATTAATCTTTTTGCTAATTTTATTATACTATATAGATTTGTATTTCTTGTGATCTGAGAAACACCAAAATTCTATTTTAAAAATATACAATATTGCACTTTAGTTTTTGGCAGTTTAGTTAAGGAATGACTGAGTACAAAAAAAATCATACAAGAAACTACAATTTTTATTTTGCTTTATAATAAGCAAAGAGCTTTGTGTAAAAGCAAAACTTACAGTAGTGCCAAATAAACCAAATATTTACAACGTAGATATTAAAGGAAGATTCAGTGTATTTGTATTGAATGTAAATATTAATCTAACAAAAGCATCTAACCCTTCCCCCATTCTGCTGAACATTATTAACCCAAAGAGTATTGGTGATTTCTTTCTCAAGAAAAACATGAAGAAATGTGTGTTCTTGGAGCACATAAACTAGGTCACTGGACTCTTTCACAAGAATGTTTCCTACGTGACTTGAAAAACCTCTAAACTAAGAATCAGAATTGCATGTTAAGCATTCTTTCAAAGTTTTCTGTAGTTATTCTCTTTTACTCTTACAAGTTTACGACTTAGTTGGTATGGTATAATTTTAAGGTCAGTTTCCTGTACTTTTTCTAAGATACATGAAATATTGAATATGCATCTGCCTGAATTATTTTTAACTTTTGTCACATTGTAATGAAACTATATATATTTACACTGACCCAGAACTTGTTATTTTGCTTTTTAATTTCCAGTTAGGCAAATGCTTTAGAAAGCTCAGTGTTTTTTTTTCTTAACCAATTTGGAAGAGAATTTTTAAATAGCTATTTGCAAAAGCAAATACAAAGATTTAGAACTACTTGATAGTATATTAAACATTCAAAAGACCAACAGGAACATAAATAGAATATTATCTGTAATATAAATATATCACATAGAGACATTCATTTGTGACACCACCTAAAAAAATCCAGCAGTAATTTATTACCCTTCAGATCTTTGGGAATACTTAAAATTCCTAACCATTAAACCTTTTCTTTTCCTCTAGAGGAAAAATAATCCACAAATTTGAACGGGTATTTCAAAAGCAAATGATATCCTTTTGTTACTTCTTAAATGATCTTGTGAATGAACAGTTATTCAAAGTGTTAACTAGCAGCCAGTGCATTAATTATGCGTTTTTACATTTTAATCCTACCAAGAACTAATTGTTTCGAACAGTGATTTATCATGGAAAGATATGATTTCTTCTTAAACAACCATGTATCAATTGCATAGTTCTGATTTGATAACAAAAGTCATAGTAGAGAGTTACAAAGGTATTAATATGTGTTAACTGAACTGAAAGAGACTGTTAAGAAACAGTCTATCATGCGTAGATGTTAGTGTAAACTTAGAGGGAAAAAAACAGTCAACAGCAAAAAAGTTTTCTTTAAAAATAGGTTAATGTTAAGAATAGCTTTAAAAATTTCTGTTTAAAAATAAGCTTAATAAACAAGAATACAAATTTTAATCAAAACTTAGCTCTTTGAAATGCCCTATTTTCTTGCATATAGCAGAAAATACATTTTTCCATAGTTTTCAATATTACATGTAAAAAGTAGGCACTAGTTATACATATTTGAATATATTCACACAAATAGGAGTTTCGGTCCCATCCTTAGGCTTATATTTGCTCAATGGTTTCTGAATGGCAAACCATTCACAAAAATAAATCTTCTGAAGGAGGTGCGTAAGAGAAACCAACGAATGCATCATCTGCCTCCAATACACTGGCATTCACTATAGAATAGTCAGAAGATACGCACACAGAATACGGAACTGTTTCTTCTGTAAATGCTGTGTCAAAGTTCCTGATATCATCTGGTCCAGCCTGAAACATCAAAAGGATGGTATTATTCACCTTAGCTTACCTTTCATTAATTTAGTCCTTTATTAAAAACTCCCTTAAAAGAATTTGTGTATTTATTCCTAGCAAGTTTGGATGTCTTCTTAATTCATTTCTTTGAAACATTTTTCTGCTTTTCCTTCCCAGACTTTTATTATTTAGAGGAGGTTACCTGTCCTAACAGTTAAGGTTCTTGTTGGGTGGGGGAGGAGAGAAGGGTGAGGAAGGCTAGCAGAGTGCATACCTAAGCTATTTGAATCTCAAGCCCTGTAACTGATCCCCTTTCTCCCTTACCCATCACCACCTCAAAGTTCAGAAAAGAGGCTCAGGTAGGTTTTCAGAATAGCATTTTGCATTTGAACTTCCACAAAATGCCTGCCCATCTAGTTTCTCAATTCTGGGTGGGTGAAGCCTTCTGATGAAGGTATAAAGAAGGTTTTAAGTAAAATTCTGAAAGGTGACTCTTACTGTGTTACAGACAAGGTCATGACGCATTTGGCTAGGGCATTCTTAGCTCTGGAGGGCTATGGGGTCCAGGTACGTGGGAACTGAAGCATGGTGACAGTGTCTCAAAGGCAGTGGCTCTTAACCTTCCTTTACAAACCTGATGCAAGCGAACAGATTCTCCCCTTCCAATGCATTTGCAGATAAAAGCTGGGCTACAAATTCTGGTGATTCCTTCTTAAAGCCCATCCTTGAGGCTCTAGGTTATTTCTGCTCTACAGGAAAGGGAATCCTTAAAATGTGCAAGTCATCAAATGTAACTGAGGTGAACAGATAGGAATTCAGAGCAGATATCATAAGCTAAGGATAATAGCTAGCCTGGTACACAAACCGGGCAGAGGAGAGACCAGGAAAACCCAGAATGCTAGATCCCTCTGTAAGAGAAAATCCCTCACAGATGACAAAGAATGCTAGAAATTGTATGTGTGCATGTGTGTTTGTGTATGTATTTTTTTCCTCAAATTCTTACATATAATCCTAGAAAAACCATAGGCCCTTGATTTCTGGCTGTAATATTTGCTAGCTGTAATTCTTTATATAAACTACCCTATCTATCTCTATGAGCTTATTTCTTCTTCTGTAAAATAAGAATACCGTCACCTACCTCTTAAGGTTGTTGTGAGGATATGATGAATTAATACACAAAATTCCCAGAATCTGACATGTAGAAAGTGCTCAATAAACGATGGCAAATGTTCTCTGACTTGGCTTTATAAGTATTCTATGGATGCCCTCATGGCTGGCACTGACAGGGATAATACAGGTAGGGCATTCCAAATTTGAAAATAAAAAATCTGAAAGTTTGAAATGCTCATTAGAGCATTTTGGATTTTAGATTTTTGGAGTTGAGATGCTCAAACCAGTAAGTATAATGCAAATAAATATTCCATAATCCAAAAAAAATCTGAAATCTAAATCACTGCTGGTCACAAGCATTTTGGATAAGAGATACTCAAAAATACTGTATGGTTTATGTTAAGAATGAGGGCTCTGTCTTTGGAGTGCCTGAGTTCAAATTCTATTTCTGCAACTTTAACTAAAATTAGGGCAGGTTATCGAACCTTTTCTTTGCCTCAGTTAACTTATCCACAATAAGTGGAAACAGTACTATTTCATAGGATCAGGATTAAGTAAAAGGATGCATATAAAGTAATATTAGGATTTAATTTCTCAGATGTTTGAGGACCAAGGTAATATATATAAAAAGGACCTAACATCACTAAAAGTTCACTCCCTTTCTCTTCCTCTCTACTTGGAAATTTATTGCATAAATATGTCCTGGTACTAATAGGTACACTTATGCCAATCTGAACCTTCCAGACCCCTATACTTCCACAGTAACCCTGTCTCACCTCACCAATTCCTGGTACACTGAACTAATTTTAAAAGCCATTAATATGAGTGATTCATTGACCTAGGAATGAACATTTTCTTTCAGGTTATAGAATTATTAGAATAGTACTAGCCTCTCCCTGGGGTCCAGACTCAGCCCTCAGATGTGGCTTCTGAATGACCCTGTGAGCATGGCCAGGCCACTCGCACTGCAGCTCCACACCACATCCCATCTCTTCAGGGCAAGGCTCCACTACTTGCCAAACTCACACAGATGTGTGTGCCAATCATTCCCAATGCAATTCTACTTGCATCAGCCACCTTACCTTTGTATAACGCTTTCATAGTTTACAAACTGCTTAATACATTGAATACATTAATATGACAACTGATAAAGGCACTTTTAATTTAGGGATTATTTCCTGGCAACCCCTAATTTGAAATGTCAGTGAGCCCTCTCCCATCAAATAATCAACTCTGTTTTCATACTTTTCTAAATCTAAGTTCACAGTAGACTTTTATGTATGTAATAAGCAAAAATTCCTAAAGTGGGGACTGAGGTCACGGAACTGTAAACTATTAGCTATGCAGAACAGTCAATATTTCAAAGAGGGAGCCAAAAACCTGAGGAAGCTGTATTCCAGAAGCTGCCAAAATGAAAGCAATGAAAAAGTAAGTTATCTGAGGATTACAGTGGAAGCAAGGATGGCAACCTGGATGTACCCAACATAGAGGAGTGTTAGGGGAAGCTTCCATAGTAGTTTAGAAGATTTTAAATGGAGTTTCAATGAAGTCCTATCTGAACATTGCTTATTTTGGAGGGACTTGTTTTGTTTTGGTTGTTCTGAAATGGTATACTGAGGAACAAATCTTTCAAGGTATCAAAAACCACTTGTTGGAGCCAGGTACAGTGGTTCACACCTATAATCCCAGCATTTTGGGAGGCCAAGACCGGAGGACGGCCGAGGCCGGAGGACAGCTCAGTTACAGTGAGCTATGACTGTAGCACTGCACTTCAGCCTGGGCAACAGGGAAATCTTGTCTCTAAAAAACATAAATAGGTTGAGAATGGTGGCTCACACCTGTAATCCCAGCACTTTGGGAGGTGCAGGTGGGAAGATCACTTGAGGCCAGGAGTTCAAGAACAGCCTGAGTAACGTATAGAGACCTTGTCTCCACAAAAAATTAAAAAAAAATTAGCTGGGTATTGTGGCACGTGCCTATAGTTCCAGCTACTCCGGAGGCTGAGGCAGGAGAATTGCTTGAACCCAGGAGTTTGCAGTTACAGTGAGCTATGGTTGTGCCACTGCACTCTAGCCTGGGCAACCAAGTGACACACTGTCTCAAAAATAAATAAATAAATACTACCTGTTGATGAGTTTTATAGCAAAAAGAGTTTGAAATATAATAATGTACCCATTACATTGCTTGTGTTAGCGAATTTTAGATTGCTGCTATTATTTCTTCTCTTTTATAGTAAACTATCAACTGTTGAGAGAATAAAATTGAGCCACCAATGCTAGTTAGGACAAATTAAATAGCTAGAAGTATAAGTTCAATTCTGTGGATTAAAAAAAAGAATTCAGAATGCATTTCACCCATTGTTGACAGGGAAATAAACTGATTCTAATCCTTTTATAATGAAGAGTACTTGGGAATATATAATTGAAGTAAATACTTTTGGCAATCTATTGGATTTTGCAATCTATTAACTGCTAGAAACACTCATTATAAAAATGTCAAGGCTTAGCATGGTCAATAACTCAACTCTTCCTTTTCCTAGTAACGAATCCTATTTAAAATATAAAACACCAGGCCTGGCGCGGTGGCTCATGCCTGTAATCCTACCACTCTGGGAGTCCCAAGCGGGTGGATCGCTTTGAGCTCAGGAGTTCGAGACCAGCCTGAGCAAGAGCGAGACCCCCTCTCTACCAAAAATAGAAAGAAATTAACTGGACAGCTAAAAATATATAGAAAAAATTAGCTGGGCATGGTGGCGCATGCCTGTAGTCCCAGCTACTCCGGAGGCTGAGGCAGTAGGATGGCTTGAGCCCAGGAGTTTGAGGTTACTTTGAGCTAGGCTGACGCCACGGCACTCTAGCCCGGGCAACAGAGTGAGACTCTGTCTCAAAAAAAAAAAAGACAATATGAAAAAAATAAAATAAAATAAAAATAAAATATAAAACACTAACCTGACTGAAAAATCAATTAATTCATTTTGTTCATAGGATGAGTAAGCATCAAAGACAATTTCTGTCAACTGCTTTTCCTGCACAGATGTAATCATAAGTTATTATGAGGCATCTGTTTTTTTGCCTCATTTTATATATTTCGATTCAACCAAAATACTGAATGCCTAATATGTGCTAACCATAGAGTTTTTTAAACTCTTTTTCTCTTTGTAGATTTTTATCTCTTTAACTAACTGTAATTTTCTTGAAGACAGTCTCCATGTCCTATGTATTTGTATTTTCTAACTAAGTTACCAATAAATATTTAACTGACACATTCCCAAACAGAGGAAAAGGGAGAAGGGAACTAATATTTATTGAGTATCAACTATGTGCAATGCACTGACAGGTGCTTTACAAGTGTTACCTAAATTAAACTTCACAGCCCATGTTTAAAAAAAGCCAAAAAAATCCAAAAAAAACCCCCAAAGAACACCTTGTAGAGGCTTAACCTCTAATTAATCATAGATGAGCAGGGGTCCACAGCCAGAGTTATCTAACTCTCAAACACTGTTTTCACTTCCAGTGTTGCCTGGGAGGAGTCCCTGACTCTCTAGTGCCTGATGATGCATTTATTTGAGGATAACTAAACTCAGCTAAGACTCCCGATCAGAAGAGAAAAATATAGTAGTTCTTAAGAGTCCCAGGTTCCTACAACAAACTCTAGAACTCTAAGCCAGTCATTGTCCCTAATGAAGTTACTTCTGGAACAGTCACTTATGGATGCACTACATGAAACAAGTCAATACAAATATTATGCCTGTAGGTATAAAATACCACACTTATTAATACCAGCTATAAGCTATGTACAGAAACTAACCTTAAACAAAACTGAGTAGACTAAATAATACTTCCCTGAAGTGATTTCCTTATCTGCTCTATATAGTAAAAAAGCATTCCCTAATTTTACAGCGATACCAAAAAACTTTAAATAAAAGAAAGAAATAGGCCGGGTGCGGTGGCTCATGCCTGTAATCCTAGCTCTCTGGGAGGCCGAGGTGGGCGGACTGTTTGAGCTCAGGAGTTCAAAACCAGCCTGAGCAAGAGCAAGACCCCGTCTCTACTAAAAATAGAAAGAAATTAATTGGACAACTAAAAATATATAGAAAAAATTAGCCGGGCGTGGTGGCGCATGCCTGAAGTCCCAGCTACTCCAGAGGCTGAGGCAGGAGGATTGCTTGAGCCCAGGAGGTTGAGGTTGCTGTGAGCTAGGCTGACGCCATGACACTCACTCTAGCCCGGGCAACAGAGTGAGACTCTGTCTCAAAAAAAAAAAAAAAAAAAAAAAAAAAAAAAAAAAAAGAAGAAATACATCTATGATCTTGCAACTCCAAAACAATCTTGGTTTATATCTCTTCCAGTCCTCATCCTATTTTACTGCCGTAATCATACGTCACAAAAATTGTAATTACCATGTCTTCATTTAACATCATAAGGATTTTCTAAATGTTTGCTCATTTTTATAGTTATTTTAATTTACTTAACAAGAAAAGGCAATAGAGCATAAGAAAGTAAAGAATAATGACTTGGAATCATGCATAGATTTGAAATCATGGCTCTGCTACTTTTCATCCAGCCATGAGATATCTCTGAGCTGCTATTTCCTCCTTTATAAAACATGTATAATAATATTAATAAAAATAGTAATAGTAATAAGCTTGCAGCTTAAGGAGTAAATTATATATTGTAACATATACAAAGTATGCTATACACGGGAGGCTATCAATAATTAGCAACGTCATTATTGGCCTACTGATGATTAACAATTCCCCTATCGTTATATATTTACTGTATTTCCAAAATTTCCCAACATTTTTAATAGTGTAAACCATATCTTTGATGCAGCTTTTTGCTTTAAAAAGAATTATCTTTAGGTGAAATGTTTCTATCACTAGGTTTAACAAGTCTAGCTAACATGAACAATTTCATAATACTATCTTACTATTACCTAAAAAGGATGTAACAATTTACATTACTATTAATAATGTTTGTCTGTACCTGGTTTTATACCAATCTAGAAAACAACCATGAATTAGTGTTACTTAAAATGTCTGCTGATTTAGTATAGATAAAAATGATATCTAAAGTTACTTTAATTTACATCCTTTTTTACTTACTGAGCTCGTCCCTTTCTTATACATGTTCCAGAGAAACACTTCACAACTACTGCAATGGAATATATTTTCATCAACCTAATTTAACTATAATCTTACTGGTTATCTTGAAGTTATTAGTTGTGCTAGACAACCCTGAGTGACATATGTCACAATATTTAGGTAATCATTCCATTTATTCAGGTGAGACTTTGAGATCTATTTCTAATATTATAGTGAACTACAGTTCTGTGTTTCACTATTTTAGGACAGAAAGATTTGGATATATACTTACCACATTAGGATTAAATGGCGGTGGAATCTTCTTTTGTACAAGATCAGTCCAGCTGAGTGATTCAAAAAAAGGATGATTCTGAATTTCAAGCTAGAATATTAAAAAAAATATTTTTTTCACTAATGCTGATGAATATAGTAAGTACTCACTGAAGAATTTTATGAAGCCAAACTATTACTATTTTTCCCCCCAATAATTCCTTTTAGGCACATGTTTATGTTATTTATGCAGCAAAACGATGTTATACATGTGGCAAAGTGGTAGAAAAACTACCAAAACAGACCTGAAAGAAAGTTACGTAGAACGACTTTTAAAGTTATATCCTCTCCACAGCCATCATTTCTTCAGAGGTAAAATGTGTTTATCATTTCTGTCCTAAATACTTCACAGGTTGTTTTAAGGATCAGGGTAAAATATGGAAATAAAAGTGCTATGTAAAACAGCAACTAACGTTCTGAAAAAAAAAAGTGCTATGAAAAGAATAAAGCACTATACAGACACAAAGAATTATTATTAGGGGAGGTAAAGAAGTTAGGCAGAGAGTTTTCTACAGTGAGGCAGAGGTAAAATCAAGGTGATGAGCTCCACTACCAAAAATATATTCCACTCTGGGTTGGTACTATTGAAAACTGGCACAGAGTTGATTCTAGCTTTTTTTCCTGCAAGGGGTCATGGGAGTGTATAAAGTAGGATCCAACATCATTTGGTGGGTTAAAAAAGACTTTATAGAGAAACTGATGTCTGACCAGAGGTGTGAAACATGAAGAAGAATAAAGCAGATAAAAGAACAAGGGGAGGATGTTCCAAGCAGAATAGAAAGGCCCTGACGTGGCAAGGAGTTTAGTCTGGTGAGGAAAATGAGAGTCCGATACGGGTGCAGTATACGGAAGGATGGGACTGTCACACAGAGCACTGTCATGTATCTCTGAAGCTCAAGAGCCAAACCAGCCACATGATATCAGGTCTATATTAAGAATTTTGGATTTTATTCTTGAGTTATAAGAAGACATCAACGAGTTTCAGTTAGAGAATGTCACAACTGTTTTTTGTTTTTTTAAAGACCACTCTGGCTATAGAGGGAAATGGAATGGAAAGTCAAGACCAGATAAAGGAAAAATAGCTACTGTGTGGCCAAACTAAAGACAACAAATGGTAGGAAAAGAGTAGCAGCAGCAGGGCTAGAAAGAAGTATGTGGATATAGGAAAGATTTAGGCAGCAAATGCAACAGGACCCAGCCATTTGTTGAATATGGAAGTATGGAAGAGAGAGGAGTCAAGAATGCCTCTCATATTCCTGACCTGAATAACCATATGGACAGTGACATCCTTTAACACGAAAGGGAGCACAGGAGGATGCTAGCAGGAGCTCAATTTTGAACATGCTGTGTATAAGGCAGTCTCATGATATTCAAGTGGTGGTGTTGGGCAGGCAGATTGTGTAAGTTAAGAGTGCAAAAGAAAAGGTCTGGACTGAAGATATAAATGTGTGAGATGAAGACATACAGATAACTAAAACCATGGGACCAGTTGAGATTGTCCAGGAAGAGAGCACAGAAGAAGAAAAGAGGGTTTAGGACAACAAGGAACTGCCACACTTAACAGGTTGAAGAAGAGGAGCTTACACGGGAGATAATGAAGGGCCCAAAAATACAGAAAGAAAATCATGAGATGAGATGTATGCTCTTGCAGAAACCTAGGGAACAGGAGAGCGTTGCATTTAAATGCTGCTGAGAGCGTAAGCAGCTATTCTAATGGCTGTTTTGTGATAGACTGAGAAATTAAAGAGCTTGGGAAAGGGAGAGTGAATACAGAAAACTTTCAGCAAGTTTGGCTAAGAGGGGAAGAAGATAGAGTAGTATGCTGCAGGACAGTAGGGTTGAGATATTTGGTGTTTTATGAAGCAGGAGACTTGGTAATGTCTAATTATTAATTGAAAGGAATCAGAACAAAAGGGAGAAGTTATCTGTGCAGGGAAAAGAAAAAGCATGCACAGTGTTCTTTGCAAGGAGATGGAATTCGGTGTACAGGGATAAAAAGACCTTTTCCACTTTCTATAATAGGAAGAAGGAAATGACAAGTTCCTGTAGGTTTATATAGGTCTGCAAATTTGATAGCAGGAGGCTGGATTAGTTCTGCTCTGATGGTTCTATTTTCCCTACAAAACAGAAGGCGAGATCATCTGCTAAAAGTGAAGAAGAGGCAGAAAAGGAATCTGGAAGTCTGGAGAGAAGGCATGACATAGCAGACAGAGTAGGAGACAGAGTAAGCTGAAGAGAGAAACACAGGAGCATTACCAGACAGTGGTGAAGCACAGAGCAGGTTCATGACTATGATGTTACAGTGCTTTCAAAATGCCCAGTGTGTTATTTTCTTCAGTACTGTTCAGCAGCCCAGGAGATGACAGTTGGATTCATCCAGGGTTGCAATTTCTGCCAGTGAATTCAATAAAAGGACCAAGGGACAAGGAGGTGTGAAATATTAGCAAGACTGGCTGAAACAATGGATAGAAAATTGTTGAGAGAGCTACCAGCTGAACTGGGGAGTTGGGGACAGTGATAAGAAAGCAGTAGCAGCAAAGTCTTTTATTCACAGCTCAAGTTCAAGATTGATAAACAACCTCCAAGAATACCTGAGAAAGGAATTTAAAAGTTCATGTTCCTAAAAAGTTTGTGAATTTACTGACACACTAATGTATTATTGATAACTACGCTAGAAATTTAATTACCCTAATTTGAAACAAACATGGAGATTCCCTAATTATCTCAATAGGGTGCTACTAAATTCTTAAAAAAAAAAAGGTGATTTAATGTTAGTTCAAGGCAAAAGGTATTACCTCGTGCAGACAGGAGGCACTTAAATTTATGTTAAAGAAAATTATTTAAAAGTTTAGGTAGCCCCAAACCCCCAACAAAAAGCTTACTTACTAGCTGGTTAGTCTCTGTGCTATTAATTCATGGAAATGCTAATATTATTTAGCAACAAAAATAAAAATTGCAACAAAACTTTAGGTAGTTAAAAACATACACCACATAGCATTTTTGAAAAGAAGGGAGGAGGAGGGGAACTTGTAAGAAATAAAAATAAAATAAATACTAGGGTATGAAAGCTGGATGTAGGGACGAAGAGGAGAGGAGCAAATCATTACAATGATCAAATGAAAAAATGCAACTGAAAGTGCTTTAAATACTGTATAGTTTTACATAAACACAGTGAAACTGTGGAGACAAGTATGCTTTTATCCCATGTTGCTATTCTCTAATGGTTGTATTCATTCCATTAAATATACAAAATAAAGATTCATCTCCTTATTTTAAATAAGCTTAAATAAAGCTGGAATTGGGAAACACGTTACATACAAAGTCTTCTTTGGCACCAAGTCGATTTTGCCTGTCTTTTTCTAGAAGTTCCTCCAGAATGGACCAGGCTGTGAGGCTCACTCCTGGCCTCAAACTCAGGGGTTTGTGAAGGATATTGTCATACATTTCAGCAACATCTCGGCAATAAAAAGGAGGCTGGGAAAAAAGAAACGCAAAATAAACTTAGTCGTAATTGAATTATGCCAAAATAGGGTTATAATAGTCAGATTTGGCTTTGATTTGCAGGGAGCAGTCAGGGCTGCATACTTGCAGAAATGCATGGGCCTGTTGGAGTGTGTAGCAATCTGCAGTGTGGCCTCCCAATGCAAGGAGATTCTAAAACCCAGCACATCACAGAGCTTAATAAATGTTCATAGAATGAAGTAGGGCCAATTTGTTCAATAGTGCCTTGTAGACAGCTGTTAAACTGTGTATAACTAGTACCTGTTTTAGAGAAAACCATCAACCTCATTATAGGCATAATGATAGAATCACTGGAAATGGAAATTCAAGACAGATTAAACAATTTGAGACTTGGGAATAAACTCACTAAAATAAAAAGATTTTTAGTAGAGATTGAGACTCAAAGATAATGCTCCTTCCTAAGTACTTATGACAGTGACACCATTATGGATGGATTTTGCAGAATTAAAAATGCTAGTATCAGAGCCTACAGACCTGGGGTACACCTTTAATGTGAGCATTAGCCAGTTAATCATCGAATTAAAAAGTTTAAAGTAAAAATAAGTTTCAAATGTTCCCTTTTGAATCAACTGCATTTTGTATACAATGACATTTTATATTTTCAAAGTCCTCTAAAGAAATTCAAAGGATTCTGAAATATCAAGATGGCAAATAACCAGTGCTTGAAGTAAGGTATAAGGTCGTTTTCCTCATGTGCTGAATTTCACTGAAACCCCCCCAGTTTTCAGGAAACACAAACACCCTAACTCAGGTGTCAGGTGGCATTTAGCATCAGTGGAGACAGCAGCCTCAGGGATTAGCACATGGTTCCCAGCATGTGGCTGCTGGATACTAACAGGACCACAAATCTAGAAACTATTCTAAATATTCTAAAAAGCCTAAAGAAAACCATACATTTATTCTTATGAAGATATGTAAGCTAACTAAAATGCATAAATCGTTTGCTTTGTGTTGGAACAATATTAACATACTAAAACAACTTTACTCATGTTAATCAGAGCTCTGGCTGGCCGTATGTGTCTTGAACTAATAAAAACTGGGGAAATCTACTGCATATTAAACATCACTTTTTTTCAGTAAAATCTTTAGGACATGGTGTTTTCAGGGAAGGGAATACAGGGTAATCTCCAGTGATGGAAAAAGCTGAAATATCCTATAAAAACAAAAGACATTATCTTCTGAAATAAAATAATGTGTTGATAAAATGCAAAAATTTTTTTCTTTCCATCTTTTTGAAATTAGAATGATGTTTAGGGTAAACTGGATAAAAGCAGATAATTTTAATGTTACAACTAGGTGTCTACTTCTAAAAATGTCAGTGGGATGTGAACACCTGAAGTAATGATTAGTATGACAGAGAAATAATTACATTAGTTCAAAAAACTAGTAACAGAATGATGGGGGATGGGGGGGCAAATCTACAACTAAAGGACACGGGGAGCACTAAAGGGAGGGAAGGGCACGCCTTTAACCCGCATTTGGGTGAGGCAAAGACATAAAGTGTAACTATAATGCTTGTACCCTCATAAAAACCTGGAATAACAAATAAATAAAAAAAAAAACTAGTAACAGAATGAAAAGGTTTCCTTTTTATGCATATTCCTAATATGGGTTTGGATTCATTTAACCAGGCCATTACTGTTCTGTTAGTGTTGTCTAAGTGTCCATTAGATTATTAAGGGAGAGAGACAGGCAGACATACAGAGAGAGAGGAGAGAACAAAATCAATGCTAATACATTGGAATAATAAAGTGTAGAAATACATACCAATCCATACAGCATTTCATACAGAACAGCACCAAGGCACCACCAATCTACAGTATTGTCATAGGGCTGTTTTCTGATTACTTCAGGTGCAAGGTACTGTAGAAAAGAATGAAATATTAGAGGAAATCAACTCAAGACAAAATTTATAAATAATTGAGAAATTTAACAAATTTTAGGTTACTATCACACTAAAAACATATTATCTAGATTTTCAATGGGTTGGGTGTTCTCCATTCTATACCAGTGGTTCTTGGGCAGTATCAACTGGGCACTTTTCAAAATACATATATTCATGTACTTCTCCTTTGAAACTGTTAAAACAGCTAAGACAAATACAAGAAAATAGCAAATGTAGAATCTATAATACCAAGTATGTAAAGTAGGTATTTTAGGGGAAAGTCTTTCACAAGATTAATTTATACTAGAAGTTCATCTGGTCATTATTCATAACGTTTTCCCCTTGAAGAAAGAATTAATGTAGCAATTGTAATACATTTTTTTCTTTTCAGTGAAAGAAAAAAGAATGAATTATATTCTTGAGAATTACAATAGTAATAGATATTAACATATCATACAGAAAAGTTGCGTAAGTTGTTAGATGATTATTTACATCTTAATTTGTAAGAAATTTAAATTCATCACAATTTCACACATATAATAAAACGGTGAACTTGAATTTTAAATCCGAAAATATCTTACCTTTTCCCATGTGACATATATGTAAGGAAATAGTTTCTTCTTAAGCTTTTTTGTGATCCAAAAAAATAGCAAAATATATAAAAAGGATATAATAATTTCTAATCACATCTAGATTCAGGTGACCAAAAACACTTGTGTTTTCTTTCTAAAAACTACAGGACTTAAGAAAGATTTTGATGCCAGGAGCGGTGGCTCACACCTGTAATCCCAGTACTTTGGGAGGCTGAGGTGGGAGGATTGCTTGAGGCCAAGAGTTTGAGACCAGCCTGAGCAAGAGCAAGACCCCATCTCTACAAAAACCAGAAAAATTAGCTGGGTGTGGTGGTGTGCACCTGTAGTCCCAGCTACTTGGGAGGCTGAGGGAGACCTGCTGGAGTCCAGGAGTTAGAGGTTGCAGTGAGCTATGACAACACCACTGCACTCTAGCCCAGAAGACAGAGGGAGACCCTGTCTCAAAAAAAAAAAAAAAAAAAAAAAAAAGAGGGGAAAGGGAAAGAGGAAGGAAGGAGAAGAAGAGAAAGAAAGAGATTTTGAGAGAAGGATCAAATCAAGATGGCCAACTAGACACAAGTATTATGTGCCTTCTCCATAGAGAGGAACCAGAATAATAAGCAGATGCTCACATTCTGAACAGATCGTCTAGGAGAGAATGCTAGGATTTACCAGGGAAGCAATGGGAAGCATGAAAGTGGCTAAGCAGAGGGTTCAGGGCAACTTCCCCAGACAGGGACTGGCTAACACTGAGGAGAAGCTCCTAGAGTGAGGAAACAGTAAGAGTGAAGCGCTCAGGGCTCCAAGTTTTTAAGATCTTGGCTACAAGAGAATCCCCTATGGACGCAGGTCTCGGGCCTACCCTAGGGTACTGCTTGGAGATTGCACAGAGTCGTTATTCCGTAAGGGAACCCACGCGAAATCCCATAGGCATCCAAGCCTAGAGCAGCTCTAGCTGGATGCCATTCTGAGAGCCTAGATACTGGGGAACTGCATGTGTGCCTGCAGCTACTGCGTGGCTCGGAGGAGGGACAGAGGGGCCCAGACACTCCCACACACCCCTGGGAAGGTCTCCACCACCCTGCTGCAGAAAACCCATTAAAAAATTCTTTTGGACATTGGCCTAGGCAAAGAATGTATTACTATGACCCCAAAAGCAAATGCAACAAAACCAAAAACAGACAAATGGGACTTAATTAAACTAAAAATCTCCTGCACAGCAAAAGAAATTACCAAAACAGTAAACAGACAACCTACAGATTAGGAGGAAATATTCGCAAACTATGTATCTGACAAAGGACTAACATCCAGAATCTACAAAGGAACTCAAATAACTCAGCAAGAAAAAAGCCAACAACCCTATTAAAATGTGGGCAAATGACTTCAACAGACATTTTTCAAAAGAAGATATACAAATGGCCAACAAATATATAAAAAAAATGCTCAACATCAGTAATCATCAAGCAAATGCAAATTAAAACCACAATGAGATATCATCTTACTCCAATTAGAATGTCTATTATTAAAATGTCAAAAAATAATAGATGGTGTGGATACAGTGAACATAAAAACTGCTGGTGGGAATGTAAATTAGTACAATCTCTACAGAGATCAGTATAGAGATTTCTCAGAGAACTGAAACTAGATCTACCATTCAATCCTGCAATCCCACTACTGGGCATCTATCCAGAGGGAAAGAAATTATTGTATCAAAAAGATACCTGCACTCTTATGTTTATCACAACACCATCCACAATTGCAAAGATATGTAATCAACCTAAATGCCTATCAACTGATCGGTGGATAAAGAAAATGTGGTGTGTATATATACCATGGAGTACTACTCAGCGATACGTGGATGTAACTAGAGGCCATTATCCTAAGTAAAGTAACTCAGGAACAGAAAATAAATACCACATGCTCTCACTTATAGGTGGGAGCTAAATTACAGCTACACAAGGACACAGAGTGGTATAATGGACATCGGAGACTCATAAAGAAGGAAGGTGGGAGGGGGTGAGGGATGAAAAATTACCTGTGGGGTATAATGTACACTATTCAGGTAATGGGTACACTAAAGGCCCAGACTTCACTACTATACAATATATAAATGTAATGGAATTCAACTTATACCCTTTGAATCTATTTTAAAAAAGAAAAAAAAAAAAAGAATGATTTTTAACTATGAAATGAATATACATTCACAATAAATGTTTCTTCATGCGTAAATGAAAATAGTTATAAATATATCCAAGAGCTAGGGTTAGATTAGAGAAATAAAGAAAAAATAAGTTTCAAGATAAATGTTACTTATAGATACTTTTAATTAAGTTTCTGATCTCGATTAGAAGGTTCATGTGAACTATTTTATTATGCATTTTCAATAATGTATTTGCAAATACTTCATGATAATAATGAAACATTACATGGCATCTAAGATCACCATAAATACGACAATTTAAAATAAACTAAACATTGTATGTGTGTGTGAAGTGAGAATAATAAGGCTTTTAAATAAATTATAAGGATTATTATTATTATCACAAATAGACATATTTTCTGCTAACAAATGTGATTACAGAATGGGATATTCTCATTAATGAATTCTGATTCACTTTTTTTCCTCATTCACTGCTTTTTTTCTGTTAAGTAAACAGTTTTATCATAAAATATTACAATCATATAGAAAAATATAATAGAAACCAAGAAAAGCTGTAATCCAGATATAGGCAATGTTAATATTTTACCATATTTGCTTTAGCTCATTTTTAAAAAAAACAGCTTTATTAACATCTTCACATACTACACAATTCACCCATTTAAAGTGTACAATTCAACAGCTGTTAACATATTCACAGAGTTACGCAACCATAATCACGGTCAATTCTAGGATATTTTCATGACTGCTTCATGATTGTTTTTGAAGGATTAGAAATATAATCAAATCTTTAAAGAACCATAGGTAAACTTTTAGCACTAAAAACAAGCAAAATTTATCTTTGTTGGATTATTCAAAAGGGTATTGTGGTATCTCACAATCACAGTTAAAAATACCAACTATTAATAAACTCTGAAAGTATAGAAGGGATGATTATTACTTGGTTGGAAGCTGAAATGAGAGTTTTTATTATACTTTTATTATTTCAAATTTATATATGCAATTTGTGATTCATATTTGTATCTTATACATGATTATACAAATGACAAATGAGACATATTTCTTACCTCTGGTGTCCCACAAAATGTGGTGGTGGTATCAGAAATAGCAATTCCTTCTTTACAAAGCCCAAAATCTGTTAAGACAACATGTCCCTGACAAATACAGGGGCAAGAAGATGAAACAATGTAAGTATATAAATTGAAAATTTTTAAAACCTTTTTATTTGACATAATTATAGATCTACAGGAAACTGCAAAAGTAATACATAGAGTCCTTGCCCAGCTTCCCCAATGCTGACATCTCATGTAACAACAGTACAATATCAAACAGGAAACTGATGTTGGTATAATACTGTTAACCAGACCATGAACCTTATTCAGTTTTCACTGTTTTACATGCATGCTTGTGTATGTGTGTGCAGCTATATGTAATTACAGATGTATTGATTCGTGAACTGTTCTATCACAAAGGACCTCCCTCGTGCTTCCCCCTTAACTGTGCTATCTCCATGGACCCTGTCCCCTTACAACCACTAATCTGGTCTCCATCTCTACAGTTTTGTCATTTTGAGAATGTTATATAAATGCAATCACGTGGCCGGGCGCGGTGGCTCACGCCTGTAATCCTAGCACTCTGGGAGGCCGAGGCGGGCGGATTGTTTGAGCTCAGGAGTTCGAAACCAGCCTGAGCAAGAGTGAGACCCCGTCTCTACTAAAAATAGAAAGAAATTAATCGGACAACTAAAAATACATAGAAAAAATTAGCCGGGCATGGTGGCACATGCCTGTTGTCCCAGCTACTCGGGAGGCTGAGGCAGAAGGATCGCTTGAGCCCAGGAGTTTGAGGTTGCTGTGAGCTAGGCTGACGCCATGGCACTCTAGCCCGGGCAACACAGTGAGACTTTGTCTCAAAAAAAAAAAAACAACTGTCATTATCTCTTAGCACTCAGGCACACACAAAATAAAAAGACAAACTTCAAAGTGGGAACAATGGGGGGTCATCTACAACACTGAATAAAGGTGCTGGGGAAGACTCATAATCTTGCCTTAACCCTGAGAAGTCTTAAGGGACTTTTGTCATAAATGTAGGGAATCGAATAATGATTCTTTTTAGACTTTTCCCCAAAATGATCTCAAGATATATCCGATCACCTTCTGGGATTGCAGGATAGAAATTGCTCTTCCTTATAAATTCCTTTATTCTACAGTTAAACGTACTATAGTAAGGTTGAAATACTCTTTTTCTCCTCTCTCTGCTCCGAGATTGGAAGATGGAAAATCCCTTTGTGAAGATATGACAATATCTATGAGTTAAAATAACTTTTAGAGACATTCACAGGTCAAAGATCAAACAGATTAGAAAGGTGTGCTTTTCTCCCCCTTTTTTTACGAATTCGTTTTGCGGGTAGATTCGTTACAAAACGGCAGCCTGGGGCGTGGGCGCGGCTGGCCCAGGGATCGCCATCGATCGCGGGCTGAGCAGACGATTCTCCGCTCTCCGCCCACCACGGAGACGCGACCCCGGGAACATGGTGTTGGAGACTCGGGGCTTGCTGAGCACGAAGTCTTCCCAGGCTCTCAGCGGACTGGAAGTGACCAGCAACAGCCTCGGAGCGAGCACCACGACTGCGACCCCGCGAGTGCTGTAGCGGTCGTCGGGGTGGTTTGAAAAAATGGCCAAAAGAATTGCCCAGAAGGAACTCACAGATAGGAATTGGGATCAAGAAGATGAAGCTGAAGAGGTGGGAAGATTCTCCGTGGCCAGTGAGGAAGTCTTGAAGAATAGAGACATAAAAAAAGAAAAGTGTAGAAATGATGGATTGGAAATTGATAGTGGAGGAGCCTTTAAAGCTTTGGTTGTAGCTTCTGGAGGAGGAGGGTTTTCCGGATTTGGTAGTGGTGCTGGAGAGAAGCCTCTGGAAGGAATGTCAAATGGAAACAGCATAACTAGCACCCCTCCGTTCACCAGTGCAGGGGTGGCCACAGAGACCAAGGCAGCCTCTGGTTGTGTTGCTGCAGACGGCTCTACCACCTCGGTTGATAAAACGATTTCAAATGCCAAAACTAACTGCGACAGTCAGCAGCCTTCCTCCTCTGGCCTTGCTTCTAGTGAAGCCTATGCCAGCAATCCTTGGAACAAGCAGCTGACTGTCTTGAACTGCTGTGTTCGGGATTGGATAGCAAAGCACGTGAATGCAAGCCCACTCTGTGATCTAACACCTGTCTTTAAATACTATGAGAAACATTTAGAGAATATTATACAGCACCACAGAAACTATGTCAGTGGTCATTGTCAGAGTGAAACTAACAAGATGGTCGTTGAAAAGCAGTCTCCTTCCCTATGTGGTTCAACAAAATTACAGGAAGAGTCAGCATATTTGTTCCATGGCAACAAAACTGAAGATACATCTGAAAAGAAGATTGAGGCTGTGTCTGCAAAGAAAATGGACCCATCACTAGGAGCAAAAAGTGCCTCATTTAATTCTGGCAAGAAAACCAATAGCTCCGTTTTGGGCTCATTAAGCTCTGGCCCCTTGGCTGGATTTTCATTTTCCTCTGGAAACTCCAGTTTATTGGGCAAAGATATTGCCCAGAATACACCAGTTTGTCTGCCATTTTCCACTAAAACATTGGAGAGCCAAGCAGAGGGTGGCAGTAATGAATGCAAAGGTGGAGATGATGAAGGGAATTATGAGTCACCCAAAGTAGTAGTTACTGAAGTAAAAGAAGAAGATGCTTTTGACTCCAAAAAGCAATGTATTGATTCCATCCAATATGCCATGTACCCAAACAGGGAAAAATAATGTACTTATTGTGTTCCAAATCCACCAATTGATGAGAAGAATGCCACTATCCCAGTTACCATGTTAATTTGGGTAAAAATCAGCAAGGATGCAGATGAGTTGCACAAAATTTTACTGGAGAAAAAGGATGCCTGAACACATGAAGTCAACTGAGGAATTACTGCCAAGTTGCTG